AAGAGCCGGTTCGGAGCCGAAAGAGCCGGTTCGGAGCCGAAAGAGCCGGCTCTTTTTAGTGAGCCGAACCGAAAGAGCCGGTTCTCTAAAAAGAGCCGGAAATCCCATCACTAATGGCTTCATCTTTAATCACAACAATGCAGTAAAAGCAGATGTGGATTAAAAAAAAAAGAATAAAAACACAGTAGAAACACTGTCAGTTATAGCCTGGCATCTCCCCATGCGTGTGCGCGTCGTGTTCATAATTTTCACAACTTTTCATCCACTTGGCAGATGCATTGCAAACGAGATTAACCTGTTCTTTTTTTCACTCTAATGCATAGCATGTTGTAAGGCCAGTTTCCTCGGCACCTACGAGGTGCTTTTCAGGAAGATTGTTCAACAAATCGAAAGTACCCAACTGTAATAGGAAGGCTTTTCTTTTTAACTTAAAACTGTTTGATAGGCAATTTTTGTGGAGTAAAATGGAAAACACTGGCAATCTACCCTCATTGGATAATGATTCTTTTGATTGGAGGAGATTTATAAAACAGACTGTTTTGCGCACCCTGTGCTGGGTGAGTGAAATTATATTAGTATCAGAGTTAGCCAGCCACATTGCTCACTGCAAAGTAGTGACTAATGCAGGTTTTTAGATATATGTGCTAAAACCTGTCTACATGAGGCATGAACACCCAGTGTAGACAGGTTTAAACATTTTAATTAACTGTAAATTAAATGTAAACTATGCAACGACCGATAGTAGCAAATAACCCAGTGTCACCACACACTGCCACCTGATGATGAGTGACATGTCTTAAAGGCTTTAAAGTTTATTTGCTCCTGTAGTTGAAATTTACATTTAAAAGTCAGAGAAGGTGCGCTTCCTTTTTTATAGCACAAATTTTTAAGCAGCACCTTCTCGTAATCATACAATAGTAAGCGTAGCTAATTGACTATATAAAAATAACTTAGAAAAAGATGCAAATCAACACTATCACAAACAAGGAAGTCAATGCTTTAAAGCAGGGGTGTCAAACTCAAATACACAGTGGGCCAAAATTCAAAACTGGAACAAAGTCGCGGGCTAACGTTAATATTTATTGAAATATATTTATTCCTCCAGATATAAGAATGAATCTTTTCTTATGGACTCAAACACGTTTTGCTGAAAAACTGAATATGGAACGAGCAAAGCTTAATACTAAGCAATATATATATATTATCTGTATAATACCAGTAGGCCAGCTCTAATAGTAATTTGGTATGGCTTCGCGGGCCAAATGTAATTAGTCTGCGGGCCAAATTTGGCCCGCGGGCCAGAGTTTGACACCTATGCTTTAAAGTATTTATATTCATATATTTATTTAGTATTTGCCGTGGCTGCAGCAGGAGGAGGTAAAACAGGTGGAAGGTTAGTAGTTTGATTTCTCTCTGCAATCACTGATCTGTAGTCCAGAGCAGTGCCCCACCTACAGGACTATGGGAATATTTTTTTTCCAGAAACATGTCAAACATGTTTATTTTATGTTTGACATTCTGTGTAGGCAGGCAAGTGGATGTTGATAGCTATTTTGTTTTCTTTTTTTAGACTGCTTTCTTGCAATGTCATGATCTTGCAGTGTTTACCACTTCACCCGGGACTGAACCCTGAGTGTCTCCCCTTTGCAGGTATTTGCCATTGTGGTTTTTGGAACCATCTCAGACCAAGGCTACTATAGCCCCACGAGTAAAGCAAATGGCACCTGCATGTTTAACAACAATGAATGCGCATGCAGCTATGCGGTGGGAGTTGGAGTCCTGGCCTTTGTGGCTTGTGTTGTGTTCCCCATCCTGGACGTCATCATTTCAAAGATCTCTAGTGCCACAGCGAAAGATCGCATTGTCAAAGGAGATCTGGCCTTCTCCAGTAAGTCAGCTTTAACTGCTATGCCATATAGTTCATTAAAGGAACACAAGAGTGCAAAAGAAGGAAGCGCATCCTGTTATAACTTGAAGCTGTCATCAGCTCTAATCTTTTCCCCTGAATTTGTTTCTCTGCTTTGAATCACCTGACAGCGGCTATGACCTTCCTGTGGTTCATCTGCTTCTGTGTCTTGCTCAACCAGTGGACCAGAACTAACTCCGAATATGTCATGGCCGATGCTGCCCGAGCTGCCGTTGCTTTCTCCTTCTTCTCAATCATCACCTGGGTATTTCTGACGTACAACTCACAGTTGGTTTGGAATCTCTTGTGCAAACAATTAATGTACTAATTTAAATTTCTCTCAACAGGCTGTTTTGGCGTACGTTGCATACGGAAGGTATAATGTAAACCTGAACACCTGTGAGTGGCTGACTGCTTTATTTCCCAGAATCATTGGAAATGGAAATTCTGAATAGATGTTCTCTCTCCCACGGTGCCCTCTGTACAGCATAGACTTTGATTGTTCAAACCCCACACAGGTGAGATTTGGATTCGAGGCAGCAAATATTAACTTTGAGACTGACTTTCATCAGCCAAACAGATTGGACTTGTAGGCTACTAAAAGTAAAACAAAAGGAGCCTGTCTGTGTTTGTTGTTTACTTACAGTTTACTTCAACCATTTTCAACCAATGAGAAGCTACGTCTGTAAAAGATTTTCCATTCGATTATTTAAAAAGTGTTCGGATTAGAAAAAGCTCTGCTCTGTAACAAGACATTTTTAAATTGTACTACAGAAAATGTGTGTTCCTCGTTAGTCATGGTTAAAACAGACACTCGGCACTCCTCTGGCATTAAACGCATCACCTATTATCCCAGGCCTTGAACGTGTGAATTATGTGTTTTTATAGGCAAACTAATGTATAAATAACATGTTTACAGGAAATACCCTAATCTAATAAATGTTGATTTGTGGTAACAGCTTCATTATGTTTTTTCTCTGACAAACCAAATTAATAAACTGCAAACTAGCGTTTAGGTAGCATATTATTGTGTCTCATTGTCTATTCCCCCTTTTTGCTATTTTTATTTGAAGTGAAGCACTTTGTAATTTTACCTGAAAAGGTGCTATAGAAATACATCTTTATTACTTACTTAGATCACAGAAAAATATTTTTAAAAATATATATATATATTTTTAAAGAGACTTACTCGTAGTCGATATCTGTTTCACAAATGTTGACATTGTAATCCATGGTTTTTGATGATCACCGTTTATCTCAAACACGACGTCCAAGTCTGCTGTGTAGTGGAGCAGTGCTGTGTTGCACTTCTGAAAATAAACTATCTGCAAATGAGTACGATGCTTTATTTTGTCACACTGTCTAGCCACTTCTCTGATAACCTCACAGTGTTGCTTTGCTACTTGTGACATCCTGCCACAACCTTCATCATAGCTGCTGGGGTATTAACAACTTCCTGATTTAATCATTTGAATATGATGAATACAGAGCAAAGAGGAGGAGGTTAGGTTAGTCTTTCTTGACTCTTTAAAGACATAAATGTTTCCTGTCAGTTGTTTGCTATAACATTTCATGACCATTCTTTGTATGGGGACAAAGTACATGAGTAACTGTAACACAATAACAACAGCAATAATAGAAAATACATCTAATTAATTTTTTTTCCCACTGGAAACATTTGTATTTGCATTCAAGACAGCTGGAAGAATAAGATGAGCATTTTGAGTTATGGTTGACCCTCCAGTGGTCATAATAACAAACTACAGCATTATATTAGGAAGCTAAATGAGTTGCAGGAAAAAATATACTGGCTTTTGAAATAAAGGCAAAACCAATGTATTGTAGTACTGTATTTCATGCATTTGAGAGTATACGTCATTGTGTCTTGTGTAATTATTTTGTACCATTGTTGGCAAATAGTTTGTGCTTTGTAATTTGTTTCAATGTGCGTGACCTTTTGATTACCTATGAGTGGGTGAGTGAATAGTATTATGATTGGTTACTTCATGGTTAAATGGCTATTTCCAGCCCTGTGCTTGTTTTAGAAATGACCGTTCTCACTCTGGTGTAGTGAATTTGAGGGACTAGCACAATACTTTCAGTCCTTTAATATAGGACACAAATAAGTCAAACCTTGCAAAAATAAGCTAATTATCGAAAGGAAGAGATCAGATGAGAACTGAATGCAGAAGGACAATAAATACACAGCACTGAGGTAATAATGTAATGCTGTACTAAATTCAGTAACCACTTTAAAGTGATGTCATTACTTCCGTTACAAAGGCGCAAAGGAATAAAACTTAAAAATCAAACTTTTTCTCCTTGTGCACTTGCACTACAGTCAACTGATGGCAGAGGGGAGGAGTGGAGATGTGAACAGTATCTTTATTTTTATTCCACAAAAGCGCAGGAGTATGATGGCAACGTGGAAAAAAATTCATTATACTGTTAGCTGTTCCTTTTTTCTTTTTTTTTTTGATAGGGTTGGGTGAGGTTTCACAATGAGCTTACTCGAAACCTGGGCTGATTGTGACCCACACCTGTTTTCACACCTTGGCTCATGTGATTAGGTAGACGATCATTAGAGGGTCCATTGTCCCTCTTGGGGAGAAATCTCTTAAATCTCGGACTCTCCACCATTTGACCCAAGAGCTGAAGAAGCTTATTGGATGAGAGGAGAAACATCTTCAAGCAACTTAAAGAAGTCCAAATGCTTTTCTTTTTCCAAGCTCCTTAGACTACGATGGCCTGGATGACTGATAACCTTCACAGACATGTTCCTTTTTTTGCAAACATCTGCACATGCTGACCCCAGCCCAGCAGCCAGAGATTCAAAAGAGGCAAAAGCAGTGATGAGTAGTCAGTCAAAGGAAAAGTTCACATCTGTGTCCTCATTAGGATGGAGATTTGTGTCTGTTTGTGGGACTGTAGCCTATAGGTTTATATTGTTAACTGGTAATTATGTGATGATCCGTTTCAGGTCATGTTACAGAATAACGAGAAAGTATTGAATGGAGTAGTTACGTTCTTTGATGAGGTTTTAAGTATCACACTGCATCACTTTTAATAAGAATAACAAGTAATTTGTAATGCATTCGTTTTTGAGTTCAGACCCCAGCACTGTTCGTTGATGTCAAAGAAGAATATCCAGGCTGCTTGGAGCTGATAGGCAGATAGACTCCAGGTGGTGCTCAAATACTTGCCCTTTTGTTCTCTTAAGTTCAATTCAGTTTTATTTATATAGCACCAAATCATGACAATTGCCTTTATATTGTAAGGTAAAGACCTAAAATAATAGAGAGAACCCCAAAACAATCAGGTGTCTTCTGTCTATTATTATATAACAATCAAAATAGCTAATGATTAAATGCAAAGAGGTGCATGGGTGACTGAAAACGGAAAACTAATTGCATCATGGAAAGCCCCCAGCGCCCTAGCACTATTGCAGCAGAACTAAGGGAGGGATCAGGGACACTTGATCCTGCCCTCTCTGCAAAACAGTTTCTTTTTTCATCTCAGTGTGAAGTGATAATTTAGTAGAAATCTGTTGATTATGAGTGTTTGTGCGAAATGAAAAAAAAATCAGCACATAGAAATGTAACAGATATGCAGCTGTGTAAAAATTTATTAGCTTTTTTTTTGATGAGGGATTTTTTTTTGTGCTCATCTGTGGTAAAAGTTATTCAAATAACCATTTGTTACAAGTAAGGTATATAGAAGAGCACGCAACACTTTGAACCTTGGCATAGATGGGCTACAGTAGGAGAAGACCCCACGGGCATCCTGTCAGCTCAGCTAAGAACGGCTGAGGCTACAATTTACACAGGTTCAAGAAAACGAGATAGCTGTTACCTGGACTGATGATTTTTGATTTCTGAACATGAAAGCGTCTACCCAGCCTGTCTTGTATCAGTGGTATAGGCTACTGCCGG